TACACGTTATAGTTTTTAGAAATTTACCCAGTATATTAGTTGCTTCCTGTCTGCTTTAGCACTGGATTGTAGTCTGTCCTGCCATCACTAACACAGGGTCATTTTTTTAACAGCAGAGAATAATTTATTCAAAATAATCTTTTAAAGCACCTGCTAAACATATGGATTGTATAACTAAGGCCTGAGAACCAGAATGTATCCACATAAACATAGTCTTTGTTCTTAATTAGGAGTAAATCTCGAGTGTTAACGAGCAAATGTTAACGACACTATAAATAAAAATCTTGCTTGTGAAGTAAATTCCACATATCAAGATAAAAGTATTTTTGCATAAAATGATAAGAATTTGAGTATCAAAAAATCTAACCCAAACTCGGTGCCTGTTGAGTCACCTTACAAATAGGAAAAAAAAAATCTAATTTTTCAAAAGGGAGTTATATGACCAAATTGATATTTTCTTTTAGTGTATAAATACTTACAATGTACACTCTAAGTGTATATATACACTTCAAGTTTCTGACTAAAGATATTTTCATCTAAATACAGTTCAGCTAAAATTTTGATATTTTCTTTTATCAAATGAAGATAAATGTAAAGCTAATCTCTGTGTGCTACAAGGGAGAAAAAAAAGAATTACTAAAGATTATTTTATCTGTCAAAACTTCCTTGTCTTATCAGATACATTCTCCTCCACAGCTTTTAACTTGTATACTGAATATATTTCATTACATTTCCCTTTAAGTTTGTATGAAAAACACTGGTTTTGTTTTTTATACCTAAAGTAAAGTATTTCATTTTCTATCCTCAAGATGGCTGAGTCATAGGGATAGAAATTAGAAGTCAGAAGATGTTTCTAGAAGCAAATAGATATGGTAAACAGAAAAAGAGTAGAGAGGGTGCTGTGGAATGGGGTGAGAAAAGGCTATCTTAATTTTTTAGATGATTTTAGGGATTGTAATATAACACTAGCTGGAGCTAACTTACAGAAACCAGAAGAGAAGACAAGCAGAGCAGGACTTGTTCAGAAACTTTGGAAATCACAATCATTTTATTTGACCCGGAAAGACAATAGAGAACACTGAAGAATGTCATGAAGGGAGATGGTTCTAGAAAATAACTGTTTTAGCCATGTGTGTATTCTTCATATGTCTCAAAGTTAGAAGAGATGTGAGAAGAAAATCAGAATGGTTACATGTGAGATAGGCAGGAAATTAATAATAAAACTAATCATGTGGGCCCTAAAGTGTTCAAAGGTTTTTCTTATAGTTCACTGTGCAAAACAAAAAAAAAAGTGGAAAAGGACTGGGGATTCAAACAACTGCAATTGTGAAGTGTGTGCAAAGAAATAAAGACAAGCTGATAAATAAGACATCAGAGCAGTACATTAAGCAAAATTACACATATTGGCTTACTTTTGCTGCCTATAGCTTTTTCCAATTACTTGTTTGTTTTTTCTTTGAAAAGAGTTTATGTTTTACAATTTCATCAAAAGTACAAGTGGCCTAAATACAATTTCTAAATAAGGTTTGTTTCAAATGATATATAATGAGTATTTGGTTTTCTCCAAAAATGTTTTTCAAAGTTTCATTTTTAAATTAATATGAAAGTTTATAAGTCATGTCCCAATAGTCAAAGTATTTGCAGAACAATCCAGGAAGCAGTGCGTGGTGGAGCAAACTTGTAATCTGGCACTCTGGGAAGCTGAGGCAAGAAGGTCATAAGTTTGAGCTCAGCCTGCATAAGGTAACAAATTCGCAAGATTCTAAATGAACTGGGAATGCAACTCACTGCAAAGACCATGGATTTAATAATCAGTATTTCACACACACACACACACACACACACACACACACACACGAGTAGTCTAAGATATACCTACTTACTTTACTGACTCATAAGGAGTTTGTGTCTTCACTTCAACTAACATGACAGTATGACATATCAAATTTTTATTGCTGATAGTAAATTTAGTGAGTAATGGATTTTACAAGTAATGGAGTTGGGAATGGGCAAAAATGTAAATATTCCCTTATATTTTTGCTAACAATTAAAATATATATCTACCTACAATATATTTTAATAAAAATAGCTCAGAATGCATTGTAACATATAAATAGCCTGTCATAAATAATCCTGAGTATATGCTACCAAAGGTCAAAATCTTGTCAGTACATTTCGCTCTTCATTTTCTTCTGTGATGATAGTTTCTATACCACTTCTATAAAATGTCTAGGATCATACATATATTACCATGTCTATTACTTAATGGTTCCTTTTTCTGTTTACTGAGGAAAAAAATATCCTAGAAAGATCATAAAGCTTGTACCTTACAGAGTAACTATTTTTCATGGTGACCAGTCGAAAGCATATGCTATATGCTTTAAATGTTAAAGATGATGAAACTGTCACATCAGGAGCATGCTCTGAAGAACTCCCACAACGTTGGAGTTGTTCAAGAGTCTTGTTCCTTCTTTGGTACTGCTTTTATAACACTCTACATTATACAACACAAAATGAGGTTTAACCATCTCAGAGCTACAGTGCAAATTAGCAGTTGACTTTTAAATATTACTGTATCCTCAGAAAGGGTAAAATTTACTTCTAAATATTTTTCATTAAAGTTTATTTGGGGAAAATAGTAGACATGTAAAATAAACTAAGGTAACAGTACATGTGACAAGCTTAAACAAATGTTCATTTCATCCAATTTTTTTCTACAAGTTATCTTCTGATACTGCAACTCAAACCTACAGGTATATGAATCTTATGGCAATTTCAGCAGTCAGCAGTTCAGTATTTGAAATAGGTAATTATATCAGTCATATACTTTCCTGCTCCTTTGTTGTACAAATATACATAAGTTCTATTTTGGGTACTCATATGTTCTTTTCATGTAGCTCTAAACTGTGTCTCGAACAGGTATAAAAACAATTTGTTGACTTAAATATAATGGGCATTTAAAATAACAGCTAATAATGTTAACCTAACTTCACAGAAGCTGGATTTTAGGCTGGAGAGATGTTTAAAGAACTAGTGTATTGGAAAAGTAATAATGCGTGTCACATTATGTGCATCATATGTTGTGCAGTACTTGCTTCAGGGGACCTAAACTATGGAGAGAATGGAAACTGCAAGAATGTAACTGGCTGTAAGTAAAGAAGATGGAGTATGCTGCACTCATTACAAGCATCATGGGAATTTGTAAGAGGTGGAATGTAAAGGTAATCTGACTCCCATGGAGCCAGGATAGCTTTTTGAATATTTCAGCAACAGAGTCAAAACTAAAATAACCTTTTTGATAAATTTGAAAGGTTTTCATTGAGGATATTGTGCTTCTTGAAAATGCCCTAGGTCCTCTTTTTTCCATGACTGAGATGCCAGATGTTTGTATCTGAGAAGAAAATGGGAGGAAATTGGTGGAAATCTAGAAAGCTGGAATTTCAATAGCAAATACGGAAAGAGAACAGGCAGCAGAAAAGGTGAGCCACTGCAGGACTCTGTCTTAGTCATCCTTATGACACCCATGGCACCTTAGCACAATGTACTGCACACAGAGGGGCAGTCGATAAATAATGAAGTAGGTTTAATTCAATTCACTCACATTTATACTGTGCTTTGCAGTTACAAAGCACTTTCTACGTATTAGAAAAAAGTAAATGAGGAATAAGGAGGCAAACTCGGATAAAAGGAAAGCAAATAGATGAAAGAATGTCCATAAGAATAAGAAAAAGGCTTAGTCAATTGAAGAAAAATACTAGAGGGGAAAATTCAGTTTCTTCTTGTCACTTTCAATCTGTCTCAATCATCTCACTTTTCGTTGTTCAAAGGTACCCAGGGCTTACGAAGTCTGACTCCTAAAAAAGGCCTTAAGAAGGAGGCTAGATCACCTTTGGAGCAGGCATTTTCAGACATGGTAAGCTTGGAGTCTCCCCCTCCTGTATCTAGAGTTTATGCTCGGGTTAAACCTCTGGCAAAGCTCTAACACCTCCCAAGTGTCTTCCACGTGTGGCCAGGAATCCTTTATTCCATCCCATCTGTCCACATCAGCATTCCTAAAATCTTAGGGAAGACTTAAGCTTAGGTGTGGACAGCAGGGGCTCTCTAAAAACCCAGGAACTCAGACAACAGAGGGAGGTAGTGAAGCAGGAAAGCCCTGAGAACAGAGAAAGCCCAGCTGTCTGCCTGGGAGAGTGAAAGTCTCTACGTAACTGTGGTCACAGCAATTGCCCGGGGTGGCTTCAAAATGGATGAAATGAAGGGCCATTTGAATGCGCACTACCTTGCACCTGGCATTGAGCCCCTAACCAAAAGCTCCAAGGTACAATGCCTCAGCCCGCTGGACCGAGGGGGAGGCAAAGGCTGTGCAGTATGCGCAGAAGGCAGCCCACACGTACCAGAGCAGACGCTGTCCCAAGAGAAGCATGTTTTCCAAACCCCGAAGTAGCTTGTCCCCCCCGAGAATCCTCAACCCAACATGGAGGAGGGGACTGACAGCTCAGCTCCTAAAGGGAACGATCCGATTGTGTCCTGACCCCATTATGCGGTCTTAAAAGTTGCCAGGAGAGTTGGCGCTGGAGAAGACACCTGGCTGGGGCAGCCGCCAAAGGGGGCGCCAGGTTTCCCAGGAACAAAGGGGCCGACGTCGGGGCGACCAGGGAAGCGGGTATCCGGGGTGAAAGGCAGACTCCTCGCTGAGCTGGAAGACCAGGATTGTCACGTCCTAGCAGCCTGGGGCACAGAGGGGCACGGGGAACCGGCAAGATGCTCTGGGATTCCGCTGCCTGGCTCCCCGATTCCAACCAGGTGGCGCCCGCCGCCCTCATGCTCTCCGCGCCCCTCTGACTAGAGACAAAAGGAGACGGTAGACCCTGGCCCCCCCACCCCGCCCGCGATCACCCGGGAGAAGCTCTGGTGTCGGAGTCTGCGGCAGCGGCTGCCGCTGCCTCGTGCGGGGACCCCGCGCCCCGGTACCGCCGTGCCCTCCCCACTACGGGCATTACCTTTCATCCAGTCCACGACTTGACTCGGGGACCATTTGCTCACTGGTTCCATTATCAGTGCCATGGGCACTGGGTTGCTTCCGCGCGGGTCGCGGGGCTCGGACAAAACGAAGTCGGCACCTCGAGCCGCCCTCAGGTGGGGTCCGGTGCCCTCCGCAGCCTCCCGGGGCGGGCAGCGCAGAGCAAGCAGCTTTTGTGCGCCGCTCCCGGGCTGGATCGTCCCTCGGCCAACTGCGGGCAGCAGGGTGGGAGCGGCGACGGGAGGGCTCCGCGCAGGGGTCGCGGCTCCGCGCCGGGTCTACTCAGCCCCAGTTCAGGCGGCGGCGGTGGCTGCGGCTGCGGCTGCTGCCTCCGCCGCTCCGCTCGGATCTCCGTCCCCGCGGGGCTTCAGTTCATGGCTGGAGCCGCCGAGGGTCGCCGCGGTCAGGGACGGAGCCACCGCCGCACGCCCGCAGCCAACTTGCCGACTCGCCGCGCGCGCGAGTGAAGCCCCCAGCAAGACTCGCCGCCGGGCGGAAATGACGAGGGGCCGCCTGCCACCCAAATTCTCTCTCCTCTCTCCCTCCCTCTGCAGCCCTCAGATGCGGGGCGCGCGCACCACGAGCCCCCCGCCCGCTCGCTGCCGCGCGGTCCCGCCCCCCGGGGCCGACGGCAGGCGCGCGAGGCGCGTGCGCGTGCGCGTGTGCGTGTGGGCACGAGGCCGGAGCTCGGGGTCTGTCTGGCGGGCTGGCAGGTGCGGGTGGCTTGCGCCCCAGTGTGCCCGCCCTGGGGTCCCCCGGGGGCTTAGGTGCGCAGGCAGTGCTTGCGCTGCGCCAGCGCCGCGAGCCCCGTCCAAGCCGATGTCAGTCAGTAGGGTGCTGGCAGTGGGAGCACAGCTCCGGGGGCCTGAAAGGGGACCCGCGGCCACTGTTAGATAGGCTGGCAGCCCACTAGTTGAACACCGACGGCTGGGGAGGTACTTTCAGCCCGGCCAGTGAGGGAAGGGCGCCCCTCCGAGCGCAGGGCTTGCAGAGAGAGCGGAGCTTTCCTAGCCCTGCCCTCCCCTGCTGTTCAGTGGGCTCTTGCTGTGATTTCCCGGACCCGAGCTTGCCCGCGGAGATGGAGGCGTGGACTGCCCTGGACTGGAACCCGGCTCAGCCAGCCAGAATCACAGCGATGACGCGGCAGGAGGGCCCGAGCTGTGGAATCTCTCCCGGGCCATGAAAAGAGGGGCAGGGAGGCTGCCACTTGCGAGGTGGGAGTCTCCCTGCTCCCGGGTCCTGTCTTCCCCGCCTTCCTTTGCGAAGGGCCCTTTTGAGTTTTCAGCCAACTCTTCCAAACTAAAAGCTCCCAGTACCTATTTTATAAGGACCAAAAGGTAACAGTATTATTTAAATGGGGTGATAATTTATAAACAACATGAGTTTTCCAAACCCTGTTTGCTTCAAACCCTCCGTAGCGAAATGCTGCAAAATATAGCTAATTAGGTTTTACTTGAAACAAACAACCTGGAGATTATCTCTGCAAACTACCACCATTATAGATGTTTTCTTTCTATAATTATTAAATAGCACCGCTGAGTAAAAGAGAAACTTGTTTCTGTAATCATTTCAGTAACATCAGTAGGTTTTGGCAGTTCCTTCAGTGATCATTTACTCCTGCTGGATTTTGTGAGATGTGGAACTGTCCCCCACCTTTTTGATTGTCATGCGTTGATGACCCTCTCAGACACATATGCAAAGGCTTGAAGTAGTGGTAGTTAAAATACTGATATTTTAATGCTAGTGATACAAAACAAGTACAGTTTAAGAGGTGTGTGTTTAGGCTTACTGTTTTTCTAAAAATTCAAACTTTAAATATTTGTGAAATTTTGGAAAGAGATTTAGGAGGTTAGATGAGTTTACACTCAGGACACAGGTTTAGTGCCTTCCTTTAAAAGCCTAGATCATGATTATGATTTACAATTTTTTATTGGTTGACCAAGTGTGAAAGATGTATGTTACATTCTAGTTGAGTCTAAAAACTTTAGCACTGTTTATAGAAAATAACATTTACAAGTGTCACTGATTTATGGAATAGCTTTATTTTAAAAATAGATAATTTTGAATTCTTACAAGTTACAATCGTAGAGCAAAGTTTAGCATTTTCCTAGTTCTGTAGGATGGCTTAGTGGCACAGGGCTTGCTTAGCATGTAAAGGCCCTGTGTTGGATCTTAAGCACCATTTACATGCAAAACAGTAATTTCATCGAAATACTAATAATTAAGATGGACATTTATTTAGCAAAGTGCTAAGCATTTCAAAACATCTGTATTATTATCCACTTTTTACAGATAGGAAAACCTTACCTATCACATTCACATCCTATCTCCAAATCTATTACACAGAGTTTTTAATATGTTATCAAATTAATAAGCTTTAAAAGGTTAAGTACTTTGAAATCATGATGCAAAGTCCGTAACATGAACTTTGAAACTAGTAAACCAATAAAAAGGGTTTGTATCCATCTCATGAAGTGACAGTATGAATGAATAGGAGGTTCATTGAATAATGACTAATTTTCATCAAAATATCAACTGCACAGAGGCTGAGAATCACCATGAATATTCCAGACAGTTCCTGACCAGCACCTAACATCAAGAGACTGAACTGCACAACAAGAAACCACGTTGTGGATCACACTGCAAGCACATTCAAAGTGAGATACCTCTTGTATAATGATTGAGTAGAGTATCAGTCAAGAAAGATGTCAAAGACTAGGATACAGTAAAAGTAGATGTTTATTTCATGAAAAAGAAAAAAGAAAAGAAAACAAAGACCCAAAAAAGGAGGATTTTGAAGACAGTCCTATATCAGAATAAACTGGTACATACCCAGTTCCTACTTCTCTTATAGTCAGAAGTATAGTTGGTTAAATCACCTAAAATAGCAGTTGATAATAAGTCTCACAGTTAAAAATGAGCCAAAATGTGGGTTTGGAGATATGTTCTCTAATAGAGTTCACCAAGACCTTACATATTTGTCCTAAATTCTCCCTCCTGAAGTTTTTTTTTTTTCCAGAAAACATAACATTTGCCTTTGACTTTAACAATGTAGTCAACATCAATTATTCCACTTAATCTGTTCTTACCATGGCTGGCTTTTCACTTTAGATAGTCTTGATTTGGTGGCTAAGAGGATTAAATCATCAGTGACTTTACTGTTATTCTTAACTACAAATGACTCAGCTAAATATTTCCTGTACTTGTCTTTCTACAACTTTTCAAACAAACTAGTTTTTTTATTATTTATTCTATTTTTGAAAATTAAATGCCTTTCTCCACTTTTGAAAGCATAAAATAATATGATTACATACAAACCTGGACAGCTTAATTTTGCCTTACAATACAGTCACAAAGATTGAGAGGAAAATATTTTGTCATAAAATACACAAAAATATAAATGATATAATGTCATGCATACTTCGCCCTAGAAATAAGCACAAACTTTAGAAGTAGCCTTAGATTCCTTTTGAAAACAAGTAGCTTAGAAATATTGTCAATTATATTAACTGGAAATATAATCTTCAGATGTTTGCAACTGTATTAAAATGAATCACATAAAATGCTATTTTTCATTATTTTTGGAGTTTTTAAAGTTGACTAATCCAGTTTATGTCACCAGTTGTGATAGTATTCCTTTTTGTTCTTCCCTCTAAATTTTCATTAAAAATCACTTTACTAACCATTATGTTAAGATTTTATAGCATAATGATTATTTTGATTAGCTTCAGATACAGAATTTACAAGTGATTCTCCAATTGGAATCTGATTGCCTAGTGGATATGAGTTTTAGAATAATCTGAAGTATTACTTCTGTTTTGCATATTTTAAATATGAGGTCAGGTAGGACATAGTTTTCCACTGGAAGAGGACTTTCTTTCTTTCTTTGTATTTTAGGGAAGGGTCTACAGCGTGTTTAGGGTCTCACTATGAGATCAGACCCCGAGTGATCCTCCTGTTTACAGACTCCCAAGAGCTGGGATTATAGGCGTGCACTACCACGCCCAGAATCAATTGCCTTCTCAGTGTGCCCCAGGGGTGGGGCCGGTGGGGAGGTTGAAATGGCCTGCTTTAATCCCCTGAGCTATTTGGCCAGCCCCTGGAAAAAGGACTTTCAAGTCTTTATTTCTTTGAGGCCAAAGAGAGAATAATGTATGTGTTTCTTCTGGAGCTCATAGCTGAAGACTTCTGAGTTCTGTTTTTCAGATGAGGCTACCCTATAAGGGTATTAATCTTTACTTACCTTTTGTACTACAGAGAAACTTGCTTTGCATTAGACCTCAGATGTGCCATGCAAGACATTTTGTAGTATTTTCCATTATTTAAATTGTAGATGAAATATCTTGTACAGCCATTCTACCTTTTCCAGTTTGCTTAAGTTTTTTACTTTTTCTATAGATGTGTTTAATTTCTAGGTATTTTGCTAAATGAGTAATATTATATAATTTTTTCTCCTTTTTGTTTTTGAATGGTCTGGTCACTACAGCATAGAACAATGTGTAGTATGTGCCCTAAAATATAGAAAAAGATAGCTTTGTTTTGCAGAGATCTTTCCTATCATTTCAAAAATAGATGTTCCATATTGGTGCATGTTGTATGCCTTAATGAGAAGAAAATAGATAAGCAATTCTGAAAAGAGCAGTAGTGATAAAACATAAGCTATCTCAAGAATAATATGATCTGGAGAAACTGTAGCACAATTTCTAGAACAATATTGTTATCTTCTTAGTAGTGTAATTCAACCAACAACTATGAATTAAGAACCAAAGCTCTCATATAGCCAACCACTCGATTAAAACATAAGTGTGCAATCGTCAGAGACCTAAGTATTAAGAAACTTTTAATGGGCCTTTAGTGCACAGCTCTGGTCAGACTTCTCTTTAGACTTAATAGGGAAAAGAAGCACCAAGAGAAGATCATTAGTAGAATCCCGTATTATTTTGCCTCTAAGGTAAACTGTATTAAGTTAAGCCATGTTTTGTTTTCTTGACTAAGATCTACAGTAATCTTCACTAGGCAATGAGAAAATGGCCTGAATCAAAGTTAGCCCAACAGAGTTTGTTCGTTTGGTGGAGGCCTGTCCAGTACTCACCCATGCTTCATTGCTCACACTCACAACACAGAGCCCGCCACGTTACAACTTCTTGATACATAAAATCCTGTTCCACCGTGGAAGTTTCCAATGTATCTGGCCACCATTAATGAAGTGCCTATCAATTCATTATTCAACAAATGTTTTTGAACAATATTAATATGCTAGCACAAGTTTTATTCTTTGATAAAAAATATTAGTTTGATTTCATGAATGTAGATGGCCAAAGTTTTCATAGGCTGCGTGAGAAAACAAGAACATTCACAGCTAATTTAACAGAATAATATGATAAGTGCAAGACTACGTATGCCTGGTGCTATGCAAAGAGGACGACTTAACAGCTAGAAGAAAGATAATAGCGTGGGGACAATGCCTGCTTTAGGTCTTAAAGTTTGACAGCTGAGCAATGGTAAGGAAAGAGGACTTCTAGGCAGAACAGTGTGAAGAAATTACAGAGTACTACATGTAGATAACAGGATGGTTGGATTAAAAAGCAAAACAAGAAGTAAAAGATGAAGTGGGAGAGATGGGTGACAGAAAGATTATG